CCTCGGTGAATTTTTAGGCCTAAAGGTTTTGGATTTGAATTGAATTCATAAAAGTCAAAATTTGGTCAAAAGTAAATGAGTAGTCAAGAGTTAAATGTCTAATTGAAGTTTTTTCTAGTTTCAGCACAAGAGCATGGCCTGCTTGTGATTGTACTTGGGGGGCTGTTGGCTCTCTGTTTGATTGTGATTATCATCCTCATTTTCTCAAAATACTGAGGTAAGTGTGGTACCACTATAAAAATATAAGTATGTAATTTGTATAATTCAGGATCCATGATGTCAGAAAAGCCTTGTTGATATATAGGAAACAAATATGGTGTTCAATAATGGGACCTGTTTGAAAAATGTTTGAACATGACATCATTCACTCTGATACTAATTTGACCAAAACAAATGGCTTCCTTGCAACCACCATAAGATCATGAGAGAAACCAGCTGAACATGTAACTGCAATTTGGGACAATCATCGGTGAATAATAATCATGCTTTCACCATTTGTGCATAGAAGCAGCAGTGTCTCTGCTACAATTCCGGAAAATGTTGTTTTGGTTTTGATTTGGTCACACACCTTGTAAACAAGAAACTTTGACCTCAAGCCTCGGATCAGAAAGCTGCTGGCATGGGGCTTTGTTATGTTATTGCAGTCTCCTGTGTAAATCTGAGGGTTAGGATACAAAACAAGAACAAGTCTCCAAATGAAGCCTGTACTTGTGCACCTCCATATTCAGAGGCAGAAACATACACACTCCCAGAAAAGTGTGTCAGCCTTAATGTCTATTTGCTAACGTTGCCTTGTTTAAATAATAAGAATGAATATTTGTGTTAATGCACTTAAGACATTAATCTTTGTGTTAAATATCATTGATGTGCCTCTGCAATGACATCTGTCTTTATTATTCTTATTGTCTTTGTCATATTTTTACATCAGTTCAAAATGAACTTTCTTTGAAATCTGTTAATGGTCCTCATGTTTGTACACTGCTGCCATCTTCTGGTGAGAAGCAGCTGGTTTGATGTTTTAACGTCAGCAGAGATGTTTTCACTCGTTTGTTTTCTTGGTTTACTCATTACTCTCATCAGTGGCACTTCACTGAGATGGACTCACATTTCATGCTATGCCGACAGTATTGGGAACTCCCACAGGCCTAGATAGATAATATGACAAATGAATATAGTGCAGATTAGACTACAGTAATACAAAACTTTCACTCCGTTGCAGGAATAAATCCACTCAAACATTCACCTATTTCACACACTTATTAAAGCTTGTAACTCATAAAAATATTCTTATAAGTGATACACTATTATCACCAGGCGTGAGATACTAAACACACTTCACACGTTCCCTTATGTTACCCCTTTCGATGGTAAGTATATCTTAAGGAAGGTTTAAGTGTTTTAATGGGAATGTGTAAATTGAACCCTTTCATTTTGTGAAGGAAACCTTGATGAAACAATAAACAACAATTCACAAAACCAACGCTCAACAATTTCACACTTCCAGACTCAATTCAGAAATAAAAACAAAAGAGTGCAATAAACACAGATACACTCCAGCTGCAGGCCTGTGTGTGTGTGTGTGTGTGTGTGTGTGTGTGTGTGTGTGTGTGTGTGGTACCTCAAAGCAGCAGTCTTCTCTACTCACCCAGGTCATAGTTCTTCTTACTTTGTCCACATTTGTTCCTCAGAATGATGAAGAAAAACAAAAACAGTCTTCCTCGGTCCAAACGGTGCTGAAGGACACTGGTGGGTCTCCCTCTGAGCCACAGCTGCAGCCTCCACCTCCATACATACACTGTTAGCACCGTGCTAGCAGAGATGCTAACCGACAGCTAAGCAGCAGAGTTGGGCTCAGCTCCTCAAAAACACCAACACGGGCAAAAAAACCACAGGCGACAGCCGCACAACACACTTCTTACAAACGAGTCAAGGTCCTTTACCACTTAAATTTGAATTCTCAGCCACACACTAGCTTGTAGCCACATTAGCATATACGTTACTTTCTTTCTGAGCAGCAGCCATTGTCCAATTAACTTGGCTCCACCCTCTCTTCCTCCCGCTCATTGTTAAGTCCCGCCCTCTAACCAATCACACTGTTGGAAAATGGAGGGATTCTCTAAATTGACCAATCAGATGAATGGAACGCACCGGATAATCAGTTTCACCTCTTGGTGACCTTTCAGTCACACTGTTGAAGTTAGCTTCGGTGTGAGCTGCAGCCATAGACTGTATATACAGGGGCAGCAGTGGAAGGATCTCTACTCCATAGAAGTGTATCTGTATCTTAACTCTGGGACTTTGACTTTGGCAGCAGCTGTTACAGACACACATCAGGAGAGTGAACATCCATCCATTGTATATGCTGCTCATCCCTTCAGGGTCATGGACGGAGTTTGAGCTCATCCCAGATGACATTTGGCAAAACGTGCACGGTTTTAGATTATTTAGATCGTACACATATTAGAAAGAGGTGACAAGCTCTCAACACATGAGCTCAACACAATTTGTTTGCAGCCTTCCAACATTTCAATTTCAAACCTCATGAACACATCAAGTCAAACGGTAGAAACTAATAAAAACGTCACTCTTTATTTCCCCAAACATTTGTATTAAGACTGGCTTTGCTATCTCCTTTGACAAAAAACTAAAAATACAACACTGTTGTGCTCGACTAGAACTGACTGGTGCTCAGTCCAAGTGATGATGTGGGAGACATCTTTGTTTTTTTTGTACATATTTTAGTTTACAATTGTAAGAACTCAGACATAGAAGGTGAATGTAGTTTCAATGGTAGTTTAATTTTTAACATTCAACATAAGTATCAATTATCACTCACATATTCATTACTTGGAAAATGGACAGGACTGACTTTGCAGTTATTTTTATGGACAATATAAAACTGAGGTGTTTTATTCTGTTCACAGTGAAGAAGGGAACCTTGAGGGACGGGAAGGCAAGAGGGGGAATGGTCAAATCATTGTGATCACCGGACTGGAAGGAAAGAAGAGAAAAGAGATGGTGAAAAAGAATGGATGGAAGGAGAAGGGAAGGACAGAAGGAGCCGAAGGAGGAAAAACTGTGACATTAACCAACAAAGATAAGACTTAGTCTCAAGCCCAGAATAGCAGAGCTGTAAATTAACTGTAAATGTGTGACAATACTTTGCACATGTTGTAAACAAAGCAACTATGTTTAAACTAAACAATACAGTAGTAGTTACATTATAGATTTGCTATGCTTGTAATCATGTTAGTTGTTAATAGGAAGTTTAAAATAAACTATTGAAGTTCTTTTTCAGCTGTTCTTCTTTGTGGTACCTTTCACGTGACACAATCCCAGAAGCTTCTTCAACACAGCAGGTAACTGAGTCATCACTGTGGAGGTTTGCAGACTGGAGCACTCCGCACTTCTCTCAGTAACTGAAAAATGATTTATTTAAACCCCCACTGTCAATGTGGAAATTTAAAACATTAACACGTTATCAAAAAGCTGTACCTTAAACTTTTTGAGGTAAATTTCTAACTGTAGGCACCTGAAAGCAGATCCACCAAATAATCAGACCTGCATCATACAACGTTACAAGACACTGAATGTGTCACAAGTGTATGATGTAATCTTACATTCAATGTGAGGCTGTGAGGAAACAATTTCTACAACAAACACTTCCCAACAAAAGGACCGTGGCACGATTAAGGCTTCTCTTGTATTTGGTCCAACTACTTTGTTTGCTTTGGGGATATTTATACATTTCATAGAACCCAGCAGAGAGGAAAGTTTTAAAGAAGGCCACAATTACATTTTAATGGTCTGTCAACTGTCACATGTGAACATTCATCGGCAGCGTTTGACAATGTTGCCGCTACATGTTTGAATTTCAAATATCAGCACACACAGGCACTTCCAACCTGTCACTGCAGACATTTTCATCTGTTAAGGCAAAGAGTGTTGACTTTGGTGTCATGGCTTCAACCAGAAAACCACATCATTAAAAATATCTTCCTGCTTTAAACTGACTAACAAACTGTTTTTTATATCTCAGCAGCTAACAGTTATAGACTGTGTAAAAAGATAGATGACATGACAGCTCCTCAAAAGTAAAGACAGTATAGGTCGTATACATCTTGCCTCCTCACAATGTTAGAGGATGAAACAAATTAAAAAAAAGGCAAAAACAAAACTTTTTTCCTAAGGCTTTTGGTTATTTAAGGCAGTTCTGTATCATACAGACGTATGTTGAAATGTTGTTTAATGCTATATAAACAGTGTGAAACATCATGATTGACAGCTGGACTGACTCACGATTGGTTGAGTGTGTGTTTGGGCAGGACCTTAATTACACTCCATGATCACTACTGTACAAGCTCTTGCTCCAAATAATGTCAAAAATGCAACATAGCGTCAAACACTGCGGGAGGAAGAGGAGACATGTCGTCCATCTTTAATTACAGCATATGGTATTAACTCAGCATGATTTTTTTGAAGTGGGAAATCATAAAGAACGCCGAATGAAAAGAGAACGTCTTTCAGATTTTCATGTCAAACCTCGTGTGGCTCCAAGTCTGGTGTGCAACAGCAAACTACAGAATAACACAACAATACAACAAACTGTTAAATCATCTCCGTGGAAAGAGTCTTTTATGTTTTCTCAAAAAAACTCACAAGTGAGGATGATGTCCGTTATATAGTGAAGCAGGTTAGCCAGGCACAGACAGTTTCCTCTCAGCCTCCGAGAGCGAGGGCAACTAGAGCGCCACCATTTCCTTATCAACAGAGGTCTTCTTCTCAGTCCTCGTCTCTCAGTGTCCACAGCCTCCCACACATCAGCACTCACATTAACATCATGCAAATACACTTTGAAAATATAAAATTCATTGGGTTAGGGTATATATTTATATAGATTTACACATACATATAAATTCATATACTTTTAAGGAATGTTAATCTATCTTGTGGTGTACTTTTTCTTCTTACAAGGTACAAAATAAGTTTTTATACTATGTAACACATTATATAATCAACATTAAAAACAGCTCATCAGTCCTTTTATCATTTTTTAAGCAAAAAAAAATCCATAATAAAAATAAGTTCTATGTTTTTTCTCACTTATATCTTACAATATATTTTCTCTCTGTCAAAAACACGCACACATGTCCCATGTTTGTTTTCGTTCGTGGTTTTTTCTTGGCAGCAAATCGGCAGCGGTCAAAGTGAATGTGGAAAAAAAAAATCACGTAATGATGTTGCTCATCAACGTGGAAAAAAATCTCAGAGCGACAGCCTCGTTGACGTGTAGAATTCACAAAATGGCAGCGGTGGGTGTTTGCGAAACAAAATGAACAAGCTGCGGTGCTGTTACAACGGGCACTTGGAGCAGCCGCATTCCAGAGCGGTCTCCATTTCCTCTGAGTACGAGGTGCCGTCAGAGCAGCGGAAAACCACCTTCCTCCTTCTGCTCTTGGTGACGCCACAGCAAACACCAGGGGGCGCTGTAGCCTGGCAGGATCTGGGACAGTCCATGCGGGGTATCTTGCTGGTGGACGTGCATGTTCTCATGGGGTGGTGACGCTTCAGCTGCTCCCTCAACATCTCTCCTTGACACATCAGCTCTGGACATTGGTGGAAAGGAGAGATGTAAATGAGATGGACTCTGATGTAAAATAAATCGCAATGATTCCATCTTTTTCTTTTAAACTATCCCATCTTACCTGTGTCACAGGTGGTTCCGGTGAACCCGGGCTGACAGTGGCAGACCGGCCCGCCTGCCTCTGACACGTGACACTCCCCGTGTCCACAGCGCTGCCCCCTGCAGGCTGGAGGCTCCTGTCGCCGATCGCAATACTGACCCTGGTAGCCTTCACGACACTGACAACTGTAGGACTGACCCTTCGGCACACACGCACCATGAACACATCTGGAGCATGAGGAAGAGGAAGAGGGACGACAGATTAGAGGATGATGTTAGAATAAAAGTGTTTGTGACATCATAAAGAAATCAACAACAAAGAGAATGAAAAGCATCACAAACAGGTCACAGTTAATTTCCTGAACCACTGAGAGACTAGAAACATCAACCAGGGAGGAGATGATGAAAGGTTTGGGCCACAGGGCTGCGATTCAGGCTGGGCTCCAAACTCAGTGCTTTTAAAAGGTACCTGCTGAATTTCCAACAACTCATCACTTCAAATTAAATTGCACCGAATGATGCAACCAACCATGATGCAAGTTTTTTTATTGCTTCATCTAACACCTTTGATCATTTTAAATAGAGTCTCAAAGTCATAGAACAGGAACAGATTACATTTAAAAGCTCAAACAATCAATTATTTGCCTTTTTTTAAAAATATGTCAGTTTCACCTCTAAAGTTTCATCCACAGAAGCATCCAGAAACTCTCTGTGACATTTTTGAAATGTAAATATCATTGCATCCTTAACATCCTTAACACACACTGCACATGCAGGTCTCCCTGAACATTTCTGCTGAGTCTCTGTTGTGTCTGCGTACCTGCTGCTCTGACAGGGGGTTGGTGATGTCGTCTGCTCGCACAGGGCCCCACTACGTCCTGGAGGACACTCACACGTTACCCCCATCTCTCCGCCCTCCCTGCACACACCCTGTGCACACACACTGCATGTATGACACCCTGCGAGAATACCATCGCCCTGGTGACACAAGAGAGGGAGAAAATAGTGTCAATAAAAGGTCAGTCAAAGGCCTTGAGACACTTACAGATATAAACACTTATGTTGCATGAATGCCACATGTAAGTTCAGGGTTAGAACAGAATCTGTTCTTTTGGTTTGAACCTCCTGACACTAACTGACGGCCCTGAGCTCCCACCTCTGCAGGCTGTTTAACGTCTCAGGGTCACAGAGGCCTAAGACAGCACCTCTCCACATCAAGATCTGTATCAGACTTCCTCACTTGACATTTCTGTCAAACGTCTGCTCTCTCTTAAAACATAACGTTGCTGATATGTTGCCAATGGGGCACACGTACGGCAAAAGGGTTTCTACTGTAGAGCACTCGTAACTCTCCACATGTGGCTACAAAGAATCTTCTGTCATGTGGTTACCTTGCCCTCGAAGCCCTGTGATCGCCCTCCACCCATGGCTCTGTGACTCAGATCTTGAGGCTCCCCATTGATTCGGACGTTGTGGATGCAGCCATAAAAAGCCTGAGGAGAACGGTCAGGGCCTGGACGTAGACCCAAGGCCACCACTTGAGAAGGAACGCCTGGGAAATAAAGAACGAGACAGGACAATGTGAAAAAACAACAATGAGAATAAAGATAAATTGTTGGGGGAAAAGAATAGCAAGGACTTTAGGAAGAAGGTTGCTTGATAAATATACTACTTCCCTTACACTATCTCTGGTTTCATTCTGGGTTACAAGATACAATGTTACAGCAAGAATAACTCAGGTCTCACTATTGCACAATCACAATGTTTCTTTCGAGTAATGTGTTGTGTTATCCACATGTTGTGCTACGATTTAGTCTGCGTTCATAATGTGGGCGAGTGTATTTGTATGCACCAATGCACGACAAACGTGGTTACGACCACGAGGGGTCATCAAAGGGCAGAATATCTGTATGTGCACGTACCTCCTATGTAAAGCTGAGTGTTGTGGTCGACAGACGGCTGGCGTGCCAGCTTGCCCAGGCTCTTCGGTGCTCCGTTATCCACCACCAGGTTCAGTGAACGGTTCTGAATCTGCAGCTCAACCGTGTGGAAAAGTCCATCGTTCACCGACTCCACACTGTCACAAACATGAACACAGAGAAAAGGAAGGAGAGAGTTTCAGAATGGTTCCTGTCGTGACAGATTACAGTTGAATTGTGCACCAGATGGGAGAATTAGTGAAAAAAAATCTTGATGGACCAAAATGAAAAACGCTAGACACAAAACAGACTCCAAACATTTTCAAGTCAAACTTTCTTCCCTTTGTTTTGTTGTTTTTGCAAATGGACCAAACTAAATGAATAAAAAATGATCGAAACCTGAGTTGAAATGTTTCTGTGATATAAAACAGACTTGTCAGATCCTCAACACGCTTTTCTTTAGGGAGATATCAAAATTGGACTTTGATCCAGGCCATGGTTTCTGAACATGGGACACAGAATAGATCCCTAATTCTGATGGGTCTGTGCCTCTGGGTGAGACTCACTTCAGATTTCTAAATTCACTAGATTCAGTTTAATGGCCAGACTCAGTCTGTTTGGACCCTTGTGTTGTAGAAAGAAGTTTTGCTAGCAAAGCTCTGATACTCTGAGATAAGTGTTGTTTCCACTGAATAGGAGCTGCAATGATCCAAGATCATGACCTTTTGCACCATGTCTGACCCTGGTAACAGTGTGTGTGTGTGTGTGTGTGTTTGTATATAAGAGTGTGAGTCTGAGATTTCCCACTAAGTGGTTTTTGCTGGAGGGGAGACAGACAGCTATAGAGACAGTGGTTTGGCTCGGCCAAAATGGGGAGAGGGAGCGCGAGTGAGAGACAGAGGGGGAAAGAGAGGTGGATGGTGGGGTGGTAAAGTTGACTGTGCCTCTGTTCACCCAAGTTCTTCCTTCCTTCCCGCGGACCCGCAGAAAACAAGCAAAACATCAAAAAGACAAAAGAACAAGTGAAGCCACTCTTTCCGTTGGTGGTCTGCTCCAGACTCCCACAGCTAAACATACACACAATACAGCCTTTTTTCTGCAGCCGCTCGTCGGCTAAATTATCTGAGGAGCCTCGAGTCAGCTTTGACTGACAGCTGTTTATAGAGTGATCGTGTTACAGTGATGTTACATTAACAGCCAGTGGAGCAGGATCGTGAGTTCAGGAGGGCCAGTGTGACTGGGACAGAGACGAAATGAGGAGGAATAAAAGAGAGGAGGAACTGATCATTAAAAAATGATGCATATGTATACCAATTATTTAATTTAATAATTGAGGTTTTAAATTGGTGGGACCTTCTGTGGACGGGTTAACACCACAAAGAAAAACATATTACATATATTATATGTTCCTCTGGACATCAGTGTAGTTCAGCATTTATCTGGTGGTTTCTAAAACAAGAGCTGCTACTTCATGGTCGACCCGACATAGACACAAACATGGTTTCCATTAGGAGCCATGTAATTTAATAACGGTCCCTAACAGGCCGGTTGCATCGACGCAGGATGATGCTCTGTTAGTCTGAATGTTTGTCCTCAACCTCTCCATCCTGCTCTTTATCTTTACGTTCTATTCCTCTCCCTCATTTCTGCACCTCCTCTCACCCCCTCCTGCTCATGTTGTCCTCCCTGATTTCTCCTCATCTTCTTTCTGTCTCTGCTCTCTAGTCCTCTCGCTCTCTAACAGTTCCCGTCCAGCAGTTATTTCTTCTCCTGTTCTGCTTCTGAAGGTTCTCAGCTTTCATCTGAGAAGCTCTCCGTCCACTTTTAATCAATCTTCAAGTGTCTGGAAAGTTAAATAAAACAAGCAGCTCACGCACATGCACACACAAACCACTGGACCTGCTGTGAGACAACAGCTACACTAGGTGGCAGTAGATGACAATCGAACAGTGCCTGAGTGTGTGTGTGTGTGTGTGTGTGTGCACGACCTGTGCATATTTCTGTCTACATATATAGAAATATGTTCTTCATCAACACCAGTGTGAATTTATATTTTAAACCTTTAATTTTTTTCATGAACAAATACAGTATATGTTTGTGTGTGTGTGTGTGTGTGTGTGTGTGTGTGTGTGTGTCTCAGGTGCTTTGAAGCAGTTGGCTGTGTTGGCCCGGTGTATTAGTAAAAAACAGCCCATTATGGAATTTCATTAAAAACAAACACACGGCTGTGGCAGATTTCAGCAGCCTCTCTCTCTCCTACTCCCCCTGCGTTTGGCCAAACCCACAAGGGACGACAATTTCCTGTCAGTCCAAAATCAAACACAAACACACACACACACATATATATATATATATATATAAATAAACTTGTCGAAAAAACAATTTCCGAAAACCAAAACCTGGCCTTTTTGATTTTCTATATAAATGGATCAAATACAAACCAGAAGTAATTACAGGTCATTGACTTTATCTCAGACTTAAAAAAAAAAAATTTGGATTCAAAACAACAGCACAGATCCACTTACACTGTTAAATCCAATTAGGCAACGCTATCATTTAGTTACAATGTTTTGAAACCACATTTGTGGTCTGTGTGTGTACGTGCACACGTGGATGTGTCTGACAGTGAAACTTGTGTGTTGGTGAATGTGTATTCCTTGTGGTTTTGTTTTTATGAGATCATGCACATGTGTCGTCTTTATCCAACATACATTTATGTGTGTCCGTCCATTAGCATTGATATGTTTGAATCAGTATTTCATACATTTACTTGTGTGTGTTTATGCTTCCATGTATGTGCAGAACAGACCAAACTGATTAAAATGATGTTCAGCAGACAGGCGTCCCAGTCCCAGATTGCCGTGGTAACCTAAATTAGTCACTGCTGAGACGGCAGCTACTGAACACTGTGCCCCTTCACCGTTTCCTCCCCTCTTCTTCTTCTGTCACTAAACCAGAGCGGCCAGTTTGAATGAACTGTGTGCTTCTCAGGAGCAGTTTGATGTCGGGTTTCAGGAATAAGAGCTTGTTGTTTCAGGACTAGAAGGTTTCAATATCAAAATCTTTGAGTTCCCTCTGAACTTTTTAAACCTGTGATGTTCTGAGGTCGTGTCTGTTGCAACCACAGACTTCTGGTTTTTAAGAGCCACATTACAGCCAGATACCAAATCCTCCGTAAAAAACATATTCAAACAGATGCTGGATTCGCAGTAAATGTGAGCTATGTCTCAACTGTGAAGGACCTGGTCCACGCGGCTGCATCTTCCAAGATTTACATGCCTTCCTTAATCTCTAAACTATTTTAAATGATGATGGCGGGGAATTCAGCTGGGTTTAGTGTGTGTGAGAGTGTAAGGTGAACAGAATTCTACCACCCTGATCTCACAGCACAGTTAGTCAGGACCTTATATTCAGGACACATCCCTTACAGGCCTCCCACCATCAAACTCTGCCAGTTCAACAGAACCACAGCTGCTGAAAACTGAGAGTTTAGCTGCAAAATTACTGCTCTTCTGTTTGTCCAAAACACAACTGGCATTCAAAGATAAAAAATACAACACTGATATTATTCTTTTATATTCATTACCTCTGCCAAGAAGTTTAAGTTGTCACCCCTGTTTGGTTGTTTGTTGGTTTGTTGTGGGCGGCTGTGGCTCAGGAGTTAGAGTGGGTTCGATCCCCGGCTCCCGCGTTCCGCATGCCGAAGTGTCCTTGGGCAAGACACTGAACCCCAAATTGCCCCTGATGGCTGTGTGTGAGTGATGTGTGGGAGAGAAAGTGCTGCACAGAGACGCACAGTATGAATGTGTGTGTGAATGGGTGAATGTAAAACTACTGTAAAGAGCTTTGTGTGGTCATCAAGACGAGAAAAGAGACCATTTGTTTTTTTATGCAAAAACTAATGAACAGATTTCCACAAATCTCGGTGGAAGGATGGGACACGGGCCAAGACAGATCCCACAACATGTTTGACTTGGATTTGGACACAGGGGCAGATCAAGGATTTTATTTTTTCAATTTCTTTAACATTGCATGTTGTTTTTTTTTACTTTTTCACCAATTATTCCCAAATAATAATTTGCGGGTCTTGATGAATACAATCAGACACATTTAGGAAACCATCTATGAGTGTGTTTAATTTGGTGCAGCTTGATTGAATTTAATGGGACTGTGGAAGTAGGAGCTCTACTCACAGACTGAGTGACATTCAAGTGTAAAGTTTCATTACTTAATTTGCCCTTGAACTTACATAATGATAAATATAGTGTAACACAAAGAGGTTACTTTGATTGGAAGGTTCATTTCATCATAGGTTTCTCCTGTATTCTCTCTTTTTTTAAATTATCTCTTCCTCTTTCCATTCTTTCCATTTCAACCAGCCATCATCATCCCTCCTCACCCAACTTCTGTCTCTTCTCTTTCTCCTCTCTCTCTACTTATCCATCCATTGCTTCCACAGACCGCCTTTCTTTATCATCCTTTTCTCCTTTCATGTACCCATCCATCCCTCCCTCTGTCACTCATTGATGAATAACAGTAGATGTGCCGTCTTTGACCCGATGGGAGATTATATGGCATTTAATAAAGGGCAGCACATTAATACACAACAAACACACATTCCAACCCCCCCATAACATGCGCGCACACACACATACACACATACACACATACACACATACACACATACACACACGCTTAACCTTTCATCTTTTGCTAATATGTGCAGTGAAAGACTTGTACTGTCACTTTCTCTGCCTCCTCTTCTTTCTTCCCTCACATCCACACATTTATTGCATGTTTCTCATTATCATTCGTCTGGGTTTAAACCTCTGCATCTTTCTGTCCACCCTGCTGACATCCTTCATCCTCTTTCGTATTCTTCCATCTTGTTTTGGTCTATTTTCTTACCCAATTTTCTGTTTCACAGTGGGTCATACCTCCTCGGTGGATGTGATCCGGGCGGGTGTGCTTGTGTCCAAAGTGTATATATAGTCTATTGTTTCTGCTGGTTTCCATGCAGAGCACTTGTAAAATGCCTATATTTCATGTGCATACCTGGGTCTACATGTAGCAGCTGCAGTCTTCTTTCTCCAGCTCCATGTCTCTCTTTTATTGCACAAACATAAACATATCAAGGGAAGTGTTTCACCCCTAAAAA